TTCAGTGGTATATCTGAAGAGATTTTTATAAGTGAGATGAATTTTGACAGCATTTTGTTCTAAATGGAATGACCCTCTATTTTTTACAGTAGAGTCCTTAGACACAAAAGCCCATATTTAAAGAAACCACTGTAGCTTCATGATGCTGTGACAAAATGAGTGAGGTAATGTAAAGATAGATAAGTTAATTCTGGCTTGTGATTCCAGAAATTCCTTTCCATAGTCACTTGGGTCATTGCTCTGTGCCTGTGACAGGTGGAGCAACATATCCAAAAATGCAATGATAGGATGGAGCTATGTGTTTCATGGAGTATGGACACTAAATAGAAAGGAAGGGGCCCATTTTCCAATATCCTCTTCAAGGGCTCATTCCCTAGTGTGTGACTTAACTTGGAGACTTAGTTTCTTTCACAAAAAGTTCCAATTATCAAAGCTTCTACTACTTTCCATTAGTGTTGATTTCAGCATTTAGCCTTTAAGATCTAATCCATAACAGCAGCCATTTCAAAATATGACTTAATTGGGCTGGAGAATACTTGGTGATTAATAGTGCATATTGCTCTTGAAAAATACCGGAATTCAGTTTCTAGCACCCATGTCAGCGGCTTCCATCTATCTGTAACTTCAACTCTAGGGCATCTAATACCCTCTTATGTCCTATACAGGCAATTGCATTCACAGGCACCTAACTTGACTCAAACACAACATTTCAAACTGTGATTCAAAGATTGATCTATTTCTCTATTGCAAAGTACTTTTGGAGGGAGACTGTCACATGATGAAGGAAACATAGCTAATAAAGCCTTTGGGAATGCCATCTTGGAGTGTTCATCAAGGCAGAACTCCGCAATGAAGACAGGCTATGGAAAATATTATGTAATTTCAAAAGAAGGTCGTCTTTTACAAGTTCTTGTTTTATGTTGTGGCATGTAAGAATTCTTAACTCTCACAAAATTGCTGTGTGCTTTGTTGGTACAGGTCAGCATGGTGTGTGATTATGAGGAGGGTAGCCAAACCTCCCTAAGAACCTGGTATTCAGCATCTTTTCTTCTCATGCTTCCTGAAAGCTAATCTCTTTTTTCCATGCCGACAATATGGCTTTAAAAATGGTATCTAATTTAGACTGGATCATAAATAAGATAGTCACCAAACAACAGTTCGTGTCTTAAAACCCATCATTATAGAAGACATAGGATGAGCTTTAAATGATTGTGGGTTGTATTTTCTGTTAGTTGTGCCATTCATAACATTTCTATTCCTAACATCTGCAAACATGGATGTGTTTACAACAAATGTCACCGTAAATGACTTATAAAATATTGTAGGTCTTAAAACTCTTCAGAAAGTATTATTTACACTGTTACATATGTTTTACATTTTATTTGCTAATGGGAGTGGATGGGGTGTGAGATGGGGGTCGGTGGGGAGCATGGGAGGATGGGAGGGAGAGGGAACTGGGATTGATATGTAAAATAAGATTGTTTCTAAATTAAAAGAATCTCAAAAAAAGAATGTTCTATTCATTTAATTAATTTAAAATTTAGATATCTCTTGATATTTAGAATTAGTGGAAAATTAAATATTTTTGGTGTGGGTTTTCTTCCTGGCAATACACTGTTTCCAGAATAGAAAGAGAGAAGTTCATTGTGTCAGAACTCCAGTGACTCCATCTGTGGCAGCCGAGAGTATTGCTGTTCTTATTCCATACACACTTCGCCTCCACCTGTGCCTGCAGTGTTTTTTACATGAACATCCTTTTCAAATATTGTCCCTATTTATGTGTGTGTGTGAGTGTGAGTGTATGTGTGAGTGTGAGTGTATGTGTGAGTGTGAGTGTGTGTGTGAGTGCACGTGGGCACAAGATTCATCCATTTTCTTCCTGTTGAACTGCTGAGGAAAGGATGGAAGCTTGAGTAGATAAAGACTGTATATAATGACTCTGTTCTTTTTATCACGCCTTTCTCTTCTCTAGTACAGAATCTCTTTTTCCAATGGACATTCAAGTTATATGGCTCAGGAAAAAACAGCCTTGCTTGGCTGCTCCCTGCTAACACACACATGCATACAAGGGACACCTGATGGAGTCAAGGGAAAGTGGAGTTCTGAACCCATATGAAAAATTACTGAACCAGGGAAAAGATAACTGGAATCTCTTTAGTGGAAATTTGGGTTCTGAAGAAAACAGGGTCTCTCTGTCTCTTAGATATTATGAATTGAATGAACCATAAGATTCAGGAGCTGACAGAGTCACAATATAAGATGATCTGGCCTTGAACACAGTAAAGAAAAAAACTGGAGCCCTGATGTCATTGCTTGAGTATAGGCTTTATCTGTGCCCATCATCTGGACCCTTCCGTTGCCTGAGCTGCATTGCAGACAAGGTCCCTGTTTCATGACCTAGGGCACATGTGTCATTTCCTCCCATAGAGAATTATTTAGATTGCCAATGAAGAAATGGTTGTGCAATTGTAGAATTAGAAGGAACCATAGAAATAATTTACTATGAGAAAAATTAAGGTAATAACACTTATTACATTAAACAATGTTTAGTAAGTCCTTCTGGTAGTTATACAATCTCAGTCACTTTGGTAGTATATATTCTTTTTGTCAGCATTTTACAGGGAACATTATAGTTCAAGAAACATTATATAGGGACTAGAGAGATGACTGACTTGGTGGTTAAGAGTGTTTCGTTTTCTTACTGGATGAGTTCAGATCCTAGAACCTGCATGAGGCAGGCTTAGCTCCATAGATCTGATGACACCCTCTGACCTTTTCAGGTACCTAGACCCCTATCATTTGGTCTTTGTCTGACGTAATTTTCAATTATAAAAATGCTTAACGGTGTGCCATTCTCTGGTAGGACCAACATGGTCCTTTATTATTTAGCTTTCAATTGTTGGCTTTCTCCATATATTAATTAAGTCTTCTGTGACAAAACACCTGACAAAAGCAATCAGGAGTCTATTTTGGCTCACAGTTTGTGGGAGAAGACTATCATAGTGGGAAAGTTATATCAACAGGAGCCTGGGTCAGCTGGTCATATTGTACTGGCATACAGATTGCAGAAAGAGAAATGCTTGCTTTTTCTTTTTAATTCAGCCAGAGACTGAAACCCATAAAACAGCTTACTCACACCCAGGGTTGATCTTCCCTCCCAAGGAAACCTTTGTGGAAACACTTCATAAACACTTCCAAACATGTGTTTCCATGGGAGTTTTAAGCCCAGTCACATTGACAATGAATAATAACCACCACATTTGGTTAAGTCAGATGAGTCACTATTATTGTAGTTATTATTATTATTATTTTATGAATTTTAATACATGGCCTCACTATGTAGCCCAAACTACTTTTGGATTCCCAAGAACTATAGATACACACAACTCAATTATGTTATAAACCAGTAGTCATCATTTTAAGTGCCTCTAAATATTGGAAAAGCTGTTGTTAATATTTTTTAGTAATTTAGTATATCATAAAGCTATAAACATAACAATTTAAGACAATTTATCTGGGTAAATGTAGCATTTCTTTTAGAAAAGTATATAAATAGTATATGTATGTGTATATTTTAGTATATGTGCATATGTATGGTATATGTATACCACATGTACAGCATCTGTATAATTCTTGATTGGAGCCACTCCTATAATCTACTACAGTTTCTTGCTAATTTGTTTGACATTCACAGATTATATATATCAGAAAATCATCTATTTTTACTTCTATTTGTACAGACTCAAGCATAAGTTCCTGATGTATATAAGTATTCTGTTAAGCACAGTATTGAAGAAAATCAATTAGACTATTTGGTGGCTTGACTGATTTCATTGCCTAGCCTCTACAAATGCAGAAACCATTGGCAAGAGTAACTATAGAGAGAGGGGCTCAAACCACTTGCAATGCATTGCATATTGGAGTTTTCTAGCTAAATGTATTAACATTCTCGTTAGAAAATAAGTTCCAAGTCACATTCCACACACACTGACATTGTGTAGAATGTACATCATCAAGAAAAAGGGAGAATCTTATTTCAAATGAAAGTTATTCATACCCCATTTCCTTCGACTTTCTCCAAAATTGGACCCTGTTTTATTAAAAAGGTCAAAGACTCTATCAAAATAGATATGGAAGTTTAACTTTAAATTCTAATTACTTATAAAATTAAATTATTGGCCAAAGATAAACATTAATAATGAATTTGCTTCATCTTAAAATGACCCACTAGCAAGTTCTTTACAACAAACAGTGTCAATTCTCTTTTACTTGCTTGTGTTTATGTTGCTTTCCACAAGAGTGTTTTCTCCAGAAACTGATTTTAGGGCTGGCAATGAAACTCAATTAGCAAAGTGCTTGCACACCGTGCAAGAAACCCCATGTTCAATCCTCAGCATCACAGACAATTGGGAATATTGCCACAGGCCTATAATTTCAACACTTAGAAGATAGAGATAGGATAACTGGAAGTTCAAGTTCATCCCCAGCTCTAAAGTGACTTCAAGCCCAAGATGGACTACAAAAAAACTCTGTCTCAAAATGTAGGAGTGATTTTAAAATTTCTTATTGTTTAGGTGAACAAATGTATGGTCAAGAAGCAGTCTGCAGTCTGCAGTAGAGATTCTTATGTTGAAAGATGGGCAGAACACTGAATGCATTTGTAGGTTGAGTTTAATTTACATTATTTTTGCCAGAAGGGTTAATTTTTGGACTTTGCATGTGTTCATATTTTTAAAATGGAGTCTTGTTGGAAAGACAGTGCTTAGCATTGATTTTGATAGCACTATGATGAAAACAGGCTAATTTTCCTAAGTTATTCCACAGGTCTACAAATCAAAGATTGTGGTTTGCTTTGTTGTGTTCCATTAGCCCTCTGCCACACTATGATGGGTAGAAAGTTCGGGACACAGACAGTTTTGAGGACAAGTTAACCCCATTCGTGAGACTGTGAGGTCCCCTGAAGTCACTGAAGAACAAATGACAAAAGGTTGGGATTTTTAGCAGGTACAATTTTGGTTTTATTACAAGGCACACAATCATATATACAATGTATAATTACTATCAATATAAGGTATAAATAATATCCATATGGCAAAGAACACACTTCACTTTCAGAGAGGAAAATTGTCATGGCCCGAGCCAATTTGTAACCTTGTGAGACATTCATATTGATACCAAGTTCTTGCTTGGAAAATAAGTCTTGTGGAATGGACACACAACCTTGTCATAGGTTTTCCTTTAAATTTTTTCATTTAAAACCTGCCAGTGTATTCCTCATTTTGTTCATCTTATGTATCAAATGGAGTACATATAAATTGCTGGATACAAGTTTAACAACTTGTATCTGCCACAAAATTAAACCCTTTTCCCCAAAATTCTTGATTTCTCTCTAAAGAATTTTTTTTCCAAAAGTTGTCATTAATGTTGGAAGATAAAGTCCAGGTAGAGCTGTTCTTAAGGTCACAGACACAACAAGCAACAGTTTTTTGTGTGATGGGAGAGCCTTCGGGGAACCTCTGAGAGGGAGAGTCACTTGAGAACCATGGGGTTAAACAAAAGCACAGTTGGAAACAATCAAGCATGGCAATATGACAACTGCTTCCTAGCATCATGCACATGTGCACACACATGTATGCACCTGCTCTCTTTCATATATATGATCATGTATATGTGCACATATCTAAACTTCAATAATAAAATATATGTAGGTAGTTGACACTTTCCCTCCTGTGTGTGAATCTCTGTGATTCTTTGCACTAGTGCCCCAAAGTGGCTGTCACCTGTTTTTCAATTGGGTCAAGGAGAAGTTCAGAATACATTCAAGGGCAGCAAAGCTACTTACCCCCGTCCATGGGATCAAGAAATGCAGGAAGCAGGGATATTAGCAGAGCATAAAGTTAAAGAGGTCACTGCTGTAACTCCATTCCATGGTGATGTGGTAACTCCATTGTATTTGGTACTGGAGAATAATCTATCAACATCTCTCACATCTTACAGTGATGTAGAAGCATTTCTATGGCCTACTTCGGTGGCATTTGTTCATGGAACTACTTTGTTCACATACATGTCCCTTTAGCATAATAGCCAAGGTTTTAACTATTGGGTTAATGTCACCCAATATTTAAGTCATTCTTCTCTATATATTCATTTATAAGAATGCAAGGGTGGTGACTTGCTCTTTAAGAAAGCTTTGGTCTGGGATGGCATGATAAGACAGTGAGTAAAGGCACATAACATATGACAATGTAAGTCTGATAATGTGAGTTCCATCCCCAGAACCATGTAAAAGAAAAAGGAGAGAACTAATTGTGAAAAGTTGTTCTCCTACCTCTCCATGCATGTGCACACACACAATAATAATAATAATGATAATGATAATAATAAAATAATTTTCAAAAAAGTGTGTTACACTCTAGGGCATGCCCCTGCCTCCTTTTTACTTGTCTGTCTTCCTCTGTTAGCCTCCATGCTTAAATCTACACTAACACATGTGCTTAATACATTCCAGCTTTGTGTTATTACAGAAGAATCCCAGAGCATCTTGGTATTCAGTGAAATATAAGGAGTACTGAAAAGAGCACTTTATTTCCATCAGAAAATGTCTCTACAGTGTCACTGGTCACCATTGTAATCAGTAGCATAAAAGTCCTGAATGGAGATAAACATAATAACAGTGACTCTGCAGAGTGTGTCATACCTTCATGCAGGTCTCATTCTCCAGAGAGAGCGGGAGCAGCACCAGTGAAACAGCTGATAGTGAGGACGCACGGATGGAATCTACAGTATCCAAGTCCACACATTAGATGCTCTATTAGACTCCAAGGGGTGCTGCCCTAACCATGAACAAGCTTAGAAATAGATATTATTTCTAAATTACCCTTTCCTTCTTCTTTCAAGTAAAATTACAACAAAAAATGCTCATTTTCTCTGAACCATAAATTTTAAAGAAGGGGAATTTATATGTCATTTGGAAGATTTAGCAAAATTATCCTAAATGGGTTTCTCAGACAGTAACCTCCATGATACACCATTACCCAAGACCATGCAAGCTGTACTTAGGCACCTCAAGCTTCATTTCCTTCATCAGCATGTATATGGAAACAATTCTACTTCACGTGAAAAACCAGATCATAATACCTGAAGATTCACATGATCAAAACAATTTGCTCTACCTGAGTAGAGAATCTGGCAATAGGTGTGTGTTTACAAACAGATGCTACCACAAAGTAGATTTGACCAAAACTACTATCTTAGAGTGAATTCAAAATTTGGGGATTTGTTAATACCAAGTTATGAGCAGTGTTAGCACAAATGATGGTTGAGGAATCCAGAGGAAATCACACCATGACTGAGTCCTAGAAAAGCTTACATTGCAGCAAAATATCTCAGCATCAATGTTCCATGCCTCCAGTGGTATCACTGCTGCAGCCTTGAGAAATGTCCTGGCTAGGCAGGAAGCCTGTTCCTTATTTCCACACAGACTACTTACAGATGAAACTACACACACTTTGTTGGTATATATGCCTCACACTTCTTAACATCGGTACATCTTTGCTCAGAAGATTATCTACCTGAATAGCATGCTAAAGCCTAGATATGTTAATTAGCAAACTGTAGTTTTCAAGGCATTAAAAACTCTGTGAAGAGAGCATTCACAACTTTAAACAAGTTCACAAGTTTTAAGATGATGCCCTCTACCACTATGTCTTGTTCAGTGCCATGAGTCTGAGTCCAAGTTCTTCCTAAGATGCATTCTTTTCACACGAGAGACCTGTCCATCCAGCAGGGTATGCTCTGGATCTGAGCATCGGCATGCTCTCATTCTAGCTGAGGTTGCTTCTGTCAGTGGTAGCAGGTACATTTGGTGTCTACTAAACTTTGGATCCAGTGGTTTGGTTTTGCTTTGCTTTTTCCTTTGTTTTCTTCTTTAGTTTTGGAACTGTTGCATGGGAAGGCCACGCAGATGGAGGTTAACTAAACCAAGTGAACCAGAAAGAAGAGTCTTATCTTTGCCTATGAATGGGTTGAGTTTAGACTGCCTTCCTTGTTGTTGCCAGATCCTCCTGTGCTTTGTTCTTCAGACTTGCTGCCCCTACTCAGCTAGATCACTAATGTGCCCTGCAGTTGAAGACTTTAGAGCATGACATGTCTGCACTATCAAACACCTCATCTTTCCATTTCAGACTGCAGTGGTAATCTGGGTTAAACCAAGATCATTGAACTCTTCTCTACCTGGAGAGCTGTAGGAAGACATCTCCACGACTAGTCATACTGGCTTATTCATCCCGTCCACCTCCCTCATGGAAGCAGGATCCTGGACTGTATTTCTAACTCTGCTGGTGCTCTGTCGCTCCATTCGCATCTTAATAGGGAAGCAGAAATCCCTAAAACAGCGCTTGAAGTTTTCATCAAGGAAAGCATAAAGGACAGGATTCAGGCTACTGTTGGTATAACCCAAGGCAATGCAGAAGTAATAGCTGGAGAGGGCAGCTGTGCTGTGTGAGGTGCTGCCCAGAGCCTCCACCAGGATGAAGATGTGAATGGGGGTCCAACAGATGATGAAGACTGCCACCACCACCAGCACCAGTTTGGTGATCCTGCGGAGATTGCGGTCCTTCTCTCGGGAGCCAGAGAGGAGCCGGACACTCTTCAGGCGCAGGATCATCAGGGTGTAGCAGACAATGATGATGAGAACTGGGATCACAAAGGCAAAGATGAAAACACATATCTTCATGAAGAGGTCCCACCAGGAGTAGTCATCATCCGGAAACTGCAAGGAGCACTCAATGACATCCATATCTGCCAGAAGTGACCAAAGTCAACAAAAATCACAGAGAATCCTGTTATTTTCAGTACTATGACTGCAGAGTTCTATGTTAATCCCAATCCCTTTGATTTCAGAAGTCCAAGTATAGTGAAATAGCACAGGAAGCAGAACAGCGAGTCAGAAACAGATGGTTCCTTATACTGAGCATTCTATCAAAAAATGTATCTACAGAGCTATTTGCCATCAAACACAGAGTTCTATGAAGAATAAAGAAGCAAAGCAGGTTGGCAGTGTGATTTGTCCAGCTGTGAATGCTGGCTTGGTGTTGGTGACTTTCAGATTAGCCAAACTGCTCACATTTAGTGTGTCACATGGGGCACTTATTGTACAATTTCCCCACACCCACGGCTCTGACAAAAGAGTTAAAAACAACATCTGTTTCTAGTTAGTGATTAAACGTTTTGAATCTTTCTACTGAATTTAACAAACTTGTCTTAAAAACATTAACTATCTACGTGGTTCCATAAAACTTGATAACGAAATACATCTATGTATGACTCGAGTGCTGTGATTTAATGGTAACACTTGGCACACTGTGATTATCAGCATCACTGAAATGAGTACAAAAATTTTAAAGGTAAATGAAGACAAACCAAAAGAAAGCAATAATCATCTACATCAATCTTTGCTTTACTGTTTATGTGAAAAGATTTAAAATATCCTTTAAAAATCATCACCATTGTCTTAGAAAACAAATTTTTAAAAAAACTTCAGTAGGTGATCCATCATGAAACCCTGAGTTTAATATAAATGTTCTATGTTTATCTATGAATCTTGTAAACATTTTAATTTATTGATTTTATTTTATGTGTGTGAGTGTTTTGCCTGCATATGTGTATGCATACAATGTGTGTGCCTGGTGCCCATGGTGGTGAAGAATTAAATCCCCTGGAACTGAAGTTACAAATGTTTGTGAGGCACCATGTGGGTGTTGTGTAACTGAATGTGGGTCTTCTGCAGAGCAACAAGTGCTCTTAACTGCTGATCTGTCTCTCCAGCTCCATAAAAAACTTTTTTTAAAAGGTGATCTTGGGTTTTATTTTTAATTTTAAAAATAATGATTATTCTATTATTTCTTCATCTCATCCTGGTAGCAGCTTCCCCTCCCACTTCTCCTCCCAGCCCCCCCCAATCTCTATTCACCCCTCCTCTGTTTCTATTTAGAAAAGGTCAGGCCTCTCATGGATATCAACCAAACATGGCATGCATTAAGACTAGGCACCTCCCTGGTATTAAGGACATGGCAACCTGTTTTGAGGAACGGAGTCCCAAAAGCCAGCAAAAGAGTCAGAGACAGCTCCTGATTCCACTGTTAGGAGTCCCACATGAAGACCTGGCTATATAACTGTAGCATATATACAGAGGGCTTAGGTCAACCCCATGAAGGCTCCAACCACATAACCTTCAACCAACAATTTGTCCTGCCTACAAGATGTACTGAGTTTTAAAAGATGCACAGAAACTGTGGGAGTGGCCAAACAGTGACTGGTCCAGACAGAGACCCATACTACTAGAGGAAGCCCACACCTGACACTGTCTGGAGGGCCAGGATCCAGAGTCTGGATAGCACAAGGACCTAGGATAGAACCAAACCCAATTGGCAAAAAAAGCCTAATGATAGTCTGTTATAGATGTAGATTGGTACCTAGCCCAAGTTTCATCAGAGTAGCTTCATCTTGCAACTGATGGGAACAGTTGCAAAGACTCAGTCAAACATTGGGTGGAGCTTGGGGAATTCCACATATAGTTACAGCTTAGTAAATATTTTATCAATATGCATGATAGATGATGAAAATGATCAATGGCAGCTACTTTTAAAAATCTGTACGAAGTAAACAGCAATTGAGGAGTGGAAGTGGCCTCCAAATAAGCCCAAGACACTGAACATATGCCATCAAAGAGGAGGGACCACAAAATGGTACTAAGCCATGATTTGTTTCAAACATCTGCTTCTGGAAAAAGAAGACACATTCGGATTTAATTATTTTACAATTGCTTCAGTTTGAAGAGTAGTGTTTCTTTAAGCACCACAGGATTTTTCTCACATTCAGAATTGGAGGAAGTCGATCCTTTTGAAGGTCATGCTAGAATTGTGGCCTCAGGCTTTCTTTTCCCTTGCAGATTAGTACAGTAGGGTCATAGCTCCCATTGGCACTACCATAATTAGAATTAGATCCAACAACCAAACTAAAGGGGCCCTTTTAGTTTTTCATTTTTTGACATTAAACTATATCATTTCCCCTTTTCGTTTCCTCTCTCCAACCCTTCCCATGTATACTCTTTGCTCTCTCTCAAATTCATGGCCTCTATTTCTTTAACTTTGCTGCATACATATTACTAAATATATAAATATAAACTGTTTGTTGTGTATAATGTTACTTGTCTGTATGTTTGCAGGGATAATCATTTGGTATGCATAAAAAACTAAAGATTATTTCCTGGAGAAGGCTATTTCTCCTCCTCCTAGCATCCCTCAGATGCCTATAGTTCTTTGTCTAGGGTTGTCTGCAACAGTACTGATGATGCAGATTATGATTACTAAAATAAATAATTCACACATGTGCAAAGCATAAAATTCAATATTTAATGGTCATAAAGTAAAAACATTGCTATATACAAGAGCCTCCACTACTTCGTGGGCATTAGTGGATGATGGTAGACATACAACAAGCCACAACCTCTGAGGACCATTATGTTGCAACGCTGAAGAATAGCACCAGCCAGCCATGACCAGTTGGACAGACGACCTAAAATACTCCTCGTAGTCAGGAAATGGTCTTAATAGGCAGCATGGTGCAGCACTTCAAAATAAATGCATTCCAAAAAGATCATCTTTCATAATATAAACAAAACCCTTATTTGAAAAAAGTAACTAATTTCTTCTAGCGTATAACTCTCTGACACATGTTAGAAGTAATATGGTTGTTAAATCTGCAAGTGGAACATGAAATACAAAGCCAGGTCTTTATTTGCCCTAGGAAAATCATCTGTCACCCTTTGTCACTCAGTCCCTCTCATTTTAGAATGTGCAGACCATTGCTCCTGATGGGACTTGTGATGTATAGGCTCCTGAGCCTCAGAAGAGTTTCTTGCCATTTATTTCCTCTTAATGTAGTCTTGAAAAAACAAACTCCTCTGTGTGATTAATAATCTTTGCAGCTGCTTGTTGAATGACAAATGTCATAGTCTATCACCTGCTGTCACTGTGCTGGGAACTCACAACACAGTTCAGTGGGAAGCACCATAAGACCACAACACCAAGAATGACCCCTTATGTAAGTTATCAACATTGGGTGATGATGTGCGAATTTAGGCTGGGATGTGACAAATGTGCCACTCTAGTGGAGGTGTTGATAATGGAGGCTATGCTTGTGTGGTGGTAAGACACAAATTGAAACTCAGAATAGCATTTCAATTTTGATGTGACCCCAAAAGTTTTCTGAAAGAAACTGTCTAGAATGAACAAGAATAACTTATGCATGTACCATGTAAGATAAGCAATGATTTTAGCACCTGTTCTTTTCCTATGTCCTGAAAAGTCCTTGCTATGCATATTCAATTATATGTATTCACAGGCACTACAAAGCTCTCTAATAAAAGGATGCATCTGGACACCTACAAGAACATTAAATAGCATTTATACAGTTCAAAGGCTGTTTACCTGCTTCCCTCTAGGGAATCTTTATTAAGATGAAATATACTTCCAAAAGCTTCTCTTTTTTTGCTAGAAAAGCAAAACTCCTGAGACAGTTGTTCTCACCCTGGCTGCAGGTCAGACTAACCCAGGTCATATTCCAGCTTGATTAAGCAAGGCTCTCCAAGGCTGGTATCTAGGCACTGGTGTATTCTAAAGTATCCAGGCAATTTCATCCCTCATCCCAATTTGATAAACATGGGGAAACTGTAGCTGCCCTGTTTACATAGAGCAACAATTGTAACCACCTGTGAACCTGATTATGAACTGACCAATGCCAATGAAGAAAAGATATATCAGAAATTACCTTAAACCAGAAAGGAGATCTCACATATTCCTTAATAATTTAATCCCTTGTTGGGGAAAAAAAGGAAAGCCATGGTCTTTCTAGGTAGCATTTCAAAACAGTCTTGTCTTTGTTTATTTACTTCATACCCTTCCAAACCCCCTTTTATCCCCCAAATGAGAATAGTGAGTATGATGTAATCCAGTGGCAGTAAGAAGGCCTCATGTGCATGCTTTTCTTCTTATGACCCACAGGAATACTATCAGGATTATTCACACTCACTTTCTGGTTAGTACCACATCATTAGTTAAAATGTAGCACATTTCTAAACTACTAGTTTCCAAAATGTGTTTTGCAAAATGGTACTCTAAACCTTGGTGCCTCAAAAGCATCTCTGGAAAATAATGGAAGAGGAGAAACAAAAAGGAAGCTGGTGTACATTGTCTTCTCTCCCTGGATTTGTATTCCCTCCAAATTCACTAAGCATTTCAAGGATATGAAACTCGTACTGTCATCACCACATTCCATGTTTAGAGGTGGAAAGAACACGAAATTGTTTTGTTTCTAATCTTCCATGGATGTAGAAATTGTATTTTACATTGCTTTTTGTTTGCTTGTTTCCCAGTAAGTATGTGTTCTACTCTTTCCCCAAGGTAAAAACAGAGGAATGCACAGAAGTCCATCTAATCAAACATTCTATTTTTACAAGTGGGATGAAAACAATGGATCTTACCTTCTCTGACTTTGGTGCCTCCAAGAACTATTGCTGATATGCCAACCGATGATGACAAGAGCCAAATGCAGATGTTGATAACCTTTGCTTTCAAAGGTGTGCGGAAATCCAAAGCTTTCACAGGGTGACACACAGCAATATAGCGGTCTACACTCATCATGGTCAAGGTGAATATGCTGGTAAACATGTTGTAGTAGTCAATGGAAATGACAATTTTGCACAGAACATCTCCAAAAGGCCAAGAATTCATCAAGTAGACAGCACTCTGGAAGGGCATGGTAGTAGTAACCAAGGCATCTGCCAAGGCCAGGTTAAATATGTAGATGTTGGTTGCTGTCTTCATCTTCGTGTATCTAGATGATAAGAAACAATAGCAATTCCTTGTAACTTAAACCCAAAGCATTAATGTGAGTGATAGTCGCTGACTTGTTAATTTTGCTGCACATTTATTTCTTCCTTTTGCACTCATTACAAATGCAGAGTTTAAAAGGGACTCAGATTCTAATAAGGTTTTGTCTTAGTGCTTTGCTCAAAACATTTAAATAAAAAAGAGAATGAAGGAAGTACAGATCAATAAATAGATGACTACACAGACAGACTACTATTCATCAAGGTCTTCATGTCATAGGTGATGATTTATTTTAATCCTCCACAGAAATCTTACCTTAAGTATTTTTGTAATATTTTCCTTTTCTTTTTATAAAACAAATACAAAACTTTTTTCTCTTCATGGCTACTTTGAGAAATCAATGACTGTAATTATTTAACCATTTGAAAGTACAAAATGGTGTTCAGTTTTAAATTATATTCAGTTGTAATGGTCAAAGCACAATTGGACTCATTGATTTCTGCTTGCCAACATGCTACCAACTTATCATTTAAGTGTATTGTATAAATTAAAAACTGAGTTATTTTTGATACAGCAACATCTCAGAAAATAAAAATAAATTCTGCATTTCTCTATCCCAGTCTTGGGCAGTTTATTGAAGTGTCTCACTTTTCAGTCAAAGGGACAGTAATGTTGAAGTTGGATCAGCAAGATTTGTTTGAAGCTGAAATCATTCTCTATACTCTAACACGAAGCACAGAGCAACACCATTTTCACTCAAATCTGAATCAACAATCAAAGAATTGTTACTTGAAGGAATGCTTCCTCCAGAATCTATTTAGCAGTAAATATCCATAGTGTTTCACCTCTCCGCAGCCAAGAGGAAAAAGCTGTGTGTTAATTCCTTTCTGTGAACCTGAGAATTGTAAACCTTATCACAATAAATGCATCCCTGTACTCCTAGAGACATACATTTCCTCATGAAAAATATCCATTAGTGATATTGGAGTGATGGGATGGTGTTGCCCAGTATGAAGTCACAGTCCTGAGTCTAAACCTCCTAAGTCAGTTTCTGATACACAAAGATAGGAAACTGGGAACCCAAGAGAGAGGCCACTATAGAGTCTAGCTCAACACATCTGGCAGGCAGGATACATCCCATTCTTGGCACCCATCACCTTTGATCTCCCCTTTGGCTTCTTGTGAGAACCAAGATACGCTATCAAGTGGGTGGGAGGGCATTGCAAGGATTAGTACTAAAGCTGGCAAGTTCTGGTTTCCTCCATGGTCCATTTCTAAAAGAGTTATTTTTAATATAGGGAGTGGGGAAACACATTCCACCTTCAGACACCTTACTCAAATATTGTTAAATGGCCTATATGTTTTAGAAAATGATTAAGACTTTATAACCAAATACTTAAAATATTTTTTAAAAGCACAGATAGCTAAGCAAGCACAGTTATGGAAGTAATGTTTTTAATGAGAAAATATAGAATGCAATATATTTGAATATTCCCTGTTTTTAAATGTTTGGAAAAATATAGGTTATAGACATACTTCCTACTCCTTCAACTTTCTCTAACAAAAGCACTGATACTAAAAGATGTTCCAGCTACTATTGTGTTTGGAGGTTCCTGAGTCTTCATGAACTTTTACTGGCATTATTTACTTTATAAAATTAGACATACCTGAGTCCTGGTTCTAGTTTTTCCTTCCAACCAACAGACATAATTCACTTGGATCTACTAGTCATTTTTGAATCATGATGACAAATACCTAAGCTAGTTAACTTGTCTATAGAAAAGGTTATTTCTATTCTCTTTCTTGGAGGTTCCATATCATGCCTTGGTGACCCTGTAGTTTCAGGCCTGTGGTAAGGCAACACCTCTAGACAGCAGTTTATAGCAGAGCAAAGCCATTCATTTTACCACTAGTAGTGAAGAATATGAAGAGGGCATGAGGTTCCAAGCCCCCATGTAAGGGTGCAGCTACAAAAATCTACAACCTACTAGCCTGTATCTATTAAAGGACTGAGGCCCCATATTCAACACATAGGCCTTCGAGCAATGTTCAAGTTCTCAAAAATAGCAAGGACCTAGCACTCCAAAGTCTCAGTTTCCTTATGAACAAAATGTATTTTTACAGCACAGCATTCCAAAGGTAACTTTGGCATGTGAGTGAAATATATTTCCTCCCTCTCCCAGTGGCCATGCCTTGTTCATTTCATGTTCCCCACCCTGTCCTCGCTTTCATATTTGAGCAGAATCTAACAGTTAACCCAGAAAGCCAAATGGGATGTAGCTTCCAGATAACACTCGTAGCCATTTTACCCAATTTAACTTGAACATAATGATAGTGGTAAAAATGAAACTTGAACCCTGACATGAGTGTAATGACACTAGAACTCCATAAAATAAGATATGGATCTAAGTCATCATAAAATGGGGGATGGCATCTGATTTTTAGCTTTTCAAAGTAATTATAACCAATAGATGTACAAAACTGCATAAGACCTGAATTTATAAACAATCCACATCATGTCATCAGAGCTCAGAATAAAAGAACTGAGAACTGACCACTCACTTCAACAAACTTTCCATCCAGAATGTAGACTTTATCTCACTTAGGTCTCTCAATAACTTCATGTGGTAGAGATGAATGTTTCTGTTCTGTAATTGAGGTAACTAAAAATCTTGGAAATCTCTTTAGAAATTTTAAAGTGATATAAATGCAAATTACAATGCAGAAGTTGCAATCCAAGAGTTAGATGTCAAGTTATGTATTCCTACATCTGTCATTCCAGCTTCTTATAACTTTCAAAAGCTAATGTTTTGACTCTCATTTGTCTAACCTGATTCTGGAACATGCCCTTCAATTTGGCTTTGAGATTTATGTCTGTTCCTTTCTCTATCTTAAGACATTTGGGTGTCAGTGATCTATGTAACATAGGCAGAGACAGACCTAGTGTTGAAGGACAGGGCATGCAGAGAGGTACTTAGAAACCTACCACACTGACAGGAAAGAGAGCTTACAATTGGAACTAAAGAAAAGAATGAACCAGAAGTTCAACAGAATTAAGTCTTCCAGGAAGTATACTGTGCTGGACTCCATGAACACATAAGGGGAAACCAAGACCTCTACTCTCAGATGCTGGCAGAGCCCCAGAAGCTACTTATATTTAACTACAGTAAAATGTTAGCCAGTCTTTTCATTCATTTTATGTCCACTGAGGATGCAACAAGTAGTTTTTTTCCTTTGTGATAGAGTATGATTTTGCCCCATTTCATCCATAATGCTTTATAAAAGTTTGTAAGCATTTAAAGTAAAATGGCACAATCTAGGTGGGAAGTTTTGGCTTGTGTGTAAAAGCTGAAGGTGGGTTGGCTGCAAGTGGTTGCCCTTTTTAGCATACCCATCTCCAGAACATATGGCGCTAAAGGCAAAGATGGGGGTTTCTTCTTGCTAGTCTCCACAGAGCTACAAGACTGAGTCATAGTACTCTACATAAGATGGGGGGGGAATAAACAGACCAGGTCGAGAGGTCAATTAGGGAGTTGAAGATGTGACCCCCAGTGAAGGATACTCCAGAGAGTTAGAAATGTTCCCTATGGATAGCTCAACTCAAGCCCATTCTAGAGATTATCTCTGCAAGTGAATAGAAACCATGGGTACTTTTGTGTCATGAAGGGATCAGAGGTACCTTTCTATATCAAGAACAAATGTCATGGGGCAGAATTCCCAGGAGAATGTGACACTCACAGTGCTAGAAATGTGAAGTTCAATGCCAGAAGGGAGAATCTGATTTTGTGACCTAGCAGAGTCTTGGGATTTTTATCATTTCTTTGTGCCTGCTATGCTTGGACAATATGTAGAAGAGACAATGACTGTATTGTTGGATTCTTTTGTTGGGTGTTGATACTGACCCATTTTTTAATATTATTTTAATGTCATGGATGTTTCTTTAATGTGTACTTCATTATAGCTTCATGATAATAGCACAATAAATCTGAAGACCTGGTGCTTGAACACAACACCATTGAAGATTTACTTTTTCCTGTTACCTTTCTCTCTCTTAGCCTTTATTTCCAGTTTTGCTCCACATTGAGCTCCACAGCTCTATTCTCTCCTCACTCATGCTTGTCTCCTCTCTCTTTACCTCTTCATCTTTCAACATGTTTTCAAAAGTCAACCCCTCGATGTGCAACATACTAAAATCTGATGACTTAAAACTGAGTCTAACTCACAGTGTAAACTAAGGGAATAGGCAGAGGGAAAGAAGCTAGAAAACAGGGCCATCTCTACAGGTGATACAAAAGAGAGATCCTGATGGGAACTTGAGCTTGCCAGATGACAGGGACACGTAGACAAGCTTGATACCAAGTATTCCTTGCAGGAGGCAGTGAGAAAATGAGCTTTCTAGGGAGTGATAGGAGACTGGATGGATGGGAAGAATAGTGTTGAGTCAGAGAAGACATATGACCCATCAATAATGCATAAGAAAAAATCTTATGCATTTACTGGTAACTTACAAAGTGATTGATATATGCTTATGTGGTGATGATTAGATTACACACACCCAAGTATTAAGTCACACAGCAGGGACCTGGCCCATGACAAGGGCTCAGGGGATGCTGGTCTCCACTGTCATCATCATGGCAACTGCTGTTCTTCTTGTTATTGTAATAACCTCCCATGGCCCTGTAGTATAGTCCTGTACGATACTAATGCCTCTAATTTTTCTGAAAGGAAAAGTCTGAAAACAATTCTTAGAAATATTATCTGTGTTTAATGAGGGCTCTTGGAATCCAGGTCTACTGGGTAAAGGAACTCAGTGCCATCTTCTTCTAAAGATCCTCAAGGACTCAGGTATTCCATCAGAAAGGTAGAAAGACTCATGAAATCCTGCCACCTTTTGCAAATAAAAGGTGGAAAGCATCCTGATCAATGTGGCCACATCTGCATTATGGGTACAGAAAACATTTATCACTAGGCATAGTTCAGAGGGCAATACTACAATAAAGCATT